TGACAAAAAGTGAAAGGGAGTTATTTGGTCAATGTTTTTTTAATTGGTTAATCTTTTTTTTTTTTTAATTGTGAATCAATCTAAATTAGTATATTTTTATTTTCTTTAAAATGCTACATCGAATATCATGTAACATTTTAACTTGATATTAAATTAAAATATGTTACGGATTGTGAACATTCATATGCATCTTAACTGTGGTAATGACTGTTTAAGGGGAGAGATTAAAATGAAAAAATTTAAAAAAAATATATAAGAATTAATTTAATGAAAAATTGAGATATCAATTAATATAAACAAAAATTGACATTAGAGGAACAAAATCATGATTTTAGCCGTTGATTATATAATATACATATATAATACATGTATATAATAGGCATGGTGGTTTTTAAGAGGGCACCTTATCAAAAGAAATGCATTACAATTAACAAATATTTTGATTAAAAGCATTTGCTATTTAAATACTATAAAACTATCGTACATAATAATTTTATCAAATTCATCATGTTGACAATGTGTTAAAAATTTTAATCTATAACTGCAAATTTTAAATATGTTATATATATATATATGTAATGGATTTAGTTTTGATAAGAATGTGATAAATTAAACAATTCAAAATAAGGTATATATATTGTAGAATCAGATCATCACATTCATTAATATTAATTTTTACATGAAATCAATCAATTAAATGAATAATCTTAGCCATTATATATAATAAAAAATATGATTGCACAATGAGAACAAAAATCACTTGATTGCATTATTTTATCTTATAAGAGGATTTATTAAAAAAATATAAATATATTTAATATGTAGAATTATAAAATTATAGAATTATTTCTTCACAATTCTACGGTTTAAAAACCTAATTAGACAAAATTTAAGTTGGAAAAATAGAGATATCAAGTGTATGTATATGTATGTATGTATTATTATTATTATTATAACCAGGTGGCTGAGAGTTTTAGAATAAACCAATTAAAGACTATCAAGCAAAACCATCTTTTCAATTCAAATTGAGCCGAATCATGTTTAAATAAAATATAAACATAATTGATTGAAAAACATCTGTCATTTGGGACCCGTTAGATGATGACATCTTATTAGCATGTGTGATATATTAATTTACATAATAATCCCTATCACCATTTTGTTCAACAAATTTTTTTGTTTTTTAATTTTAATTTTTTTTTTAAAAAAAAAAAAATAGGATATAATTTGAATTCCAATCCTCATTTACTTTAGTTTTGTAGCATTAGACATGATATTATGTGCCATCTTGAATTAATGTAATCTTGGACTTTGTAGAAACTTTGGACTGTGATTTATTTGATTAATGATGATTATATTACTTTAATCTAATGTTAAAATGTTAATTAGTGCTGGGAAACCTGCATGTTTTTATACTGTTGGTCTGCATAGACAAATCTGATAAATTAATTTAGCAGTGTTAAAAACGCAGGCAGATAGAATATATTTGTATAAAATATAATGTAGCCAGCGGTGGGGAAACAAGTAGATGTAGTCAGTCTTGGCAGAACCCACATGTTGTTTTTCTACTAATTATTGAAAGATTCTGAGAATTTGTTTGATTTAGTAAATAATAATTAATTTATAAAACAAAGGAATAAATAAAGTAACAAATTAAAAAAGTGAGTCGGGACAGATGAGTTTTGAAGATGACAACATATCAACAAGGGAGGGATACTTTTTTTTTTTTTCATGAGAAATTAAAGGACGGGTGGGGCAATCCATGTGAAATTCATGGTTTGAACAAGTGTTTTTCTCTCTTAAAATTATAATATATATATATATATATATATTATGATTACAATGAACTCATCGTACAATTTCATTATTCGCGTGCCCAACCAACATAGATAAAATTAAATTATCTTGTTGGTATACTAAAAGGGTAAATTTAATTTGTTTAATTCTATCATTCAATTACATAATTTTTTAAGACTCAAATTTAGAGTCAAGTTGGAAATCATGCAACTAAAACAAATTTGGATTAAGCTAGTAACAAATCAAACAAACCTAAGGTACCCTCTTTCTTTTGTGTGTGTTTACATACATACATACATACATATATTTGTATTTATATGTGTGTGTGTGTGTGTATAAATACATATATATGGTTGTGTTATTCTTCTATGTTTGTTTATTAATAATTATTAAAATTAATTGAGAAGGAGGTGGTGTAAAACAAGAATAATAAAAAGGCTTATCATGAAACAATTCTTGGCTCACCATGGAAACTCATCACCTCAACCTTCTTCCTTCCACCACTAACCCTAACCCTAACCCTAAAAAAAGGCAACGCAGAAGCGATGAAGAAAAATACAGAGGAGTCCGAATGAGAAGTTGGGGAAAATGGGTTTCTGAAATCAGAGAACCCAGAAAAAAATCACGCATCTGGCTCGGTACTTACCCCACTCCAGAAATGGCGGCTCGAGCTCACGATGTAGCCGCTCTCGCCATTAAAGGTTCCTCGGCTCATCTCAATTTTCCTCAGTTCGCTCATCAGCTCCCACGTCCTCTCACCACCTCGCCTAAAGACATTCAAGCCGCCGCCGCCAAAGCCGCCGCGTCTACCTCATTTCAAGCCAAACACAGCTCGACTGGCGACGACGACGCCCACGATGAAGATACGCTGTTTGATCTCCCTGATCTTGTGGATTCAAACGCTGCGTTTTGCTACTGTTCTTCTTCATGGCCGCCTGACGAACTACCGGAGTTCGTCTGGGACAACTTCTGAACTTAAAGAGTTTGCGTATCGATGGGTGATATCTAACTGCTACCTCAAATTTTTTCAAACTCCATTCTTTACTGAATTTCGTCAACACCAATAGATGATTCGCGTGATCCTCCGATGTGGGATGCATAGTTCTGATCTTCGTTCTCTACTGTATTTTATATATATATATATATATATATATATATATATGTATGTATGTATAATAAAGAAATATAATTAATCACCATCGCAAATATATAGGACGTATAGTTAATCACCATAGTCGTGTGCTTAAAATCTAATTCTGCATTGATAGATTGAGCATAACTTATCAAAGAAAACATCATTGTTTTCCTCCAAAGAATAAAATTTTTCTTTCTTTCTTTCTTTCTTTCTTTCTTTCTTGTTCTTCTCTTTTCTTTTTTATTTTGTAGGCCATTAAATGGGTTCTGATTTTTGATTCCTTTGCTTCATTTAGGATTTTCATATATATATATATATATATTTTTTTTTTTTCTTTTATAAAAAGAAAAGGAGTTTATTCAAAACATAATTGATTAATGGATTAATAAGATGTATCAAAATTGCAAGTTAAACGATGATTAAAATTTTCAGCTTATTAATGAAAGATTTAAGAGGAATGATTAGAGAAAAAAAATTATTATGTTTGATGAAGGTAGAGAAAATGATTTCTATTACAATAATATATATTCTAGAGTCCCTAGTGATTTAAGATTTTAAATTCTACTTTGACATTTGAAATTCCACATCTAACTCTACATGAACTCAACTTTTAATTTACAAATAAATTTTGCCCAAACTTTAGATTTATTTTAGACATAGTTTTAATAATTTAAAAAATGTACCACCTTACAAGTTTGCCTTTGTTTGGTCTAAAATTAAAAATCCTAAATCTTATATTTTCCAGCAATCTTAATTCAATTTTATTTTGTCGCACGTAGTTCTTAAAAAAATTATATTTTGAATTTTAAACATGAAAATAGTATTAAATTTAATTTATAGTTGATTTAAAAAAAAAAAAGTAGTATAGCGGAAAACGTTGGCTATTAAGAATAATTTACCTTTGAGCTTTCAATTATGGGGTTGAATGGATAGAACTGTAAAAGTAGTAATACTTGATAAATTCAGATACCCACATATACATATTTAACTCAAACTTAATGTAGCATATGTTACACATATACATATATTTACATGTATCCTGTTGACATCTTCATAATTAAGCTTTTTCTCTTTATAATTATTAATAATATGTATAGCTATGACAGTGAAGAAAAAGAAAAGAGAAGCCTGCATATGTAAGGAACACATATATATTATATATATTGTGGTTGTTTTGCCAATACTGTATTTAAATATTAACAATATGATAATAAAGGCCAAAAGAAAGCTTAAATTGGATTCCCAAACCTGTAGGGTATCCAAATAAGGTGACAACATGATCTAAATATATATATATATATACGTGTTATATACAATGCAAGGTATTGAAATTTAAAAAGAAGTGTGTAGTAAAAGAGTCATGTTCTCCATTAAAATTTGTCCAACAACTCAGAACTGTTAATTATGCTAAATGACCTCATCACCATCGTTATATATATATATATATATATATATGCATATACACACATTAATTTTAATATCCTTTTTGTTCTATTTATTCATCATTTCAAGCCAGCTGCCACCAGTGTTCCATTTACCCATTGGCTCAATGTTTGATAAACAAACAAAATAATTATATATATATATATATTGTTATGTATATATATGGGTAATTAATTAATTACCACCAGTCTACCCACCCTAATCATTTGTTCTCTGATTATTCTTTTTCTTTGGAAGTGATTATACATTTATTATATATATATATGGGCTTTTTCCAATTATTCACACTTCTACATTACATTGTGTGTAAACAAGGTGACAAAAAATAAGACAAATCATAGCAAGTTTGGAATCTTACAACTAATAATGCCCACCACTTTTCTTCTTCTTTTTTTTCACTTCGTAAAAACAAAACAAAAGGTTTCTGCAGTATGATTATATTATATAATTTATTTTACAATTTCTTCCAACCATCATATCATATGTATTTTTTTTTTCTCTAAAACATTTATTATATCATAATTTTGTGAGATTTGAGTTTATGTAGGCCATAGTCTGGGCAAGAGAGAAACATATAACAATAGTCTAGAGTCATCTAGTTAATATATATATTTTAATCTCAGTCACTGTTTATTCAACAACTTTTTCAGCTCAAACAATCCTTCTAAGTGATACGTATCTCGAAATTATAAGTATTTTATATTTATTTATATGAAGTTAATTTAGTATAAAATTAATATATTATTGTTTATGTTGAATAATTCAACTACTATAACTATTTAATATTCTTATTGTATTTATATGAAGTTATTTACGCAGAAAAATGCAATAAGAATACTAAATAGTAAAATTATTTAACATAAACAATATATTGGCTTTATACTACACTAAGCTCGGTATAATTGTGTCTATTCAATTAAAATTTTAGCTTTTATTAAAATAATTGTATATATTTATTTCAAAGCTTCCGACTCAATGCTTTACTGAAACATAAATTTTCTGAACTTATAAACTTTTTTTTTTTTTATATATATAAAGTTCTTTATTCAAATTTTTTGATTATCATACAAAAACTAACAAATATGATTGATATATGTGAGGTGCAGGTGATTCTTGTACTACTTGTTCAACATGGTGGGGGATTATGTTCATGGGGTTTGTCTATTTGATCAGCTGGATTCTTTGTAATGTCAGTTTCCAACAGTGCAATATTCCCTTTTTCTGGGATAACATAAAGTGTATACATACATATATTATGTGTGTATGTAAATGTAGTTTATATACATAAGTAGAAGAGAAAGAATTAAGAGTATGATGAATAGCAGTTTAGGCATCACCATCACAATCACAATGAATGTAAACTTAACCTTGCCTTCTCGTCTTATGTAGATCTGTAAGATACTCATGTACTTAAAAGTAATTTTGTTACATTTGCTTTTCCAGTGTCTTGTCTTCATTCTTCCCAAACTACTATAACCCATAGTCAGACAATGTTTTATGAGTTACTTGTCTTCCACCTCTCAAATTTTTAGTCTTTCTTTTAAATTATGCATGTTAGATTAAAGTGTATTAGAGGGATAAACTACAAAAAATTTAGTTCAAAACTATAACATCCAGCATTATGGGATATTTAGTTTTCAGGATATTTTGGAGAAATTTAGAGAGAGAGAAGAATGCTGGGATGAATTTTATAATTTTCGAGAGAATTTATAATTATTAAATTCATAAATGAATTTACGTTTCAAAGATTTTTAAGTACGCATTACGGTGGATTTCGGAATTTAAAAGGGAGCCAAAAATATAAAAATAGAAAAAAGAAACATAAAATTTAAAAATAAATTTAGAAATCTGGGTCATTATGTAATTAAACAAGGGTTCAAATGAATAAAATTATAAGATTTAGAGTCATTCTGTAATTTTACAAAATTAGGCTAATTCAATAGCCAACCAACCGGGATGGCACTGCGTGCCAACTGTGTCAGCAGAATCAGACGCACGGTCAGGTGGGACGTTACAAACATAGCTCAACTAACTAATATACTAGAAAAATAATTAGTTTAGATAGCTACAGGAATAATTAAATTGCAAAAAATAGACCAAAATAATCTCTATACATAAATATTTAACATGTGCCAGAGAATACAATAATAAAAACATATATATTATTTTTCGTAGGCTATAAATTGCAAAATAAAAAATAAAAAAAAATCTAAAACGATCACTGTATGTTAACTAACGTGATAGGAATAATATGCAAAAGCATATCCAAATTAATTAGTTTATATAGTTTAGGGAAAAAAAATGCAAGTAATTTAGGGTTATGAGTGTATTAGAACTTTTGGTAGATGGGATAGTGTGTTCTTGAATGGATTGTTTGAGTTAGAAATTTAAATTTTTTCTTTTGGTTATGGCCTAAGGTTTTGGCATGTTGTTCTGCCTCTTTTGATTTTGCAATCAAATTAAGAAGTTTCTTTTTAGTTTAGAACTAATTTAAAGTTTATATTTGGTATCAAAGTAAGGTTATATAGGAGGTGACAAACAACTCCATGGGTGAGTTCAACTCTTCCCTAACTATGATTATTCAAAGGAAATAACTATAAAATATGGAGCATAAAAATGAAAACCCTCTTCATTTCTTAGGATTTATAGGAGCTAATTGAGAATGGTTATGATGAAGCAGACATTTCAGTTGAAGTCCT